TCTTCAATTGCATTTTAGACAAGGAGTGTGTTCCTTTCCAGAAATCAAAGCTATGAATGAGGCCTGTGATTTCTTCCAGGGGCAGAGCTGATGCAGGTCTTTCCAACACTCAAATTTAGGAGCAGAAGAAAAGGCTCTATACACAGCTCCATCTGTAGAGAAGTCCTCTAGAAGCATGACCTAAATTTCTGACTCACTAGCAAGATATTAAAAATCCTTCTTTTACTCTTCCTGATCCTTCTGCTGACCGTTTTAGGAATTCAACCATGTACAGATCACTGTATTTGCAGGTTTTCCAAGGCTGTGAATTTTATTTTGAAAAAAGGTGATACTGAGGCTATGGGGAGGATTACTCAACAGGTTCTTGAATTCAGTGTTTCATGGAAGAAAGCATAAGTGCAAGTCTTTATTCATTTGGAAAACAAATCCAGACCAAACTTCACAGTCCTTCTGTATGCAGGCTAAGCTTTGTCCAGGCTTCATCATCAGAGACCTTTCTGATGTGTAGTTGTCTGAGTATTAAATGAAAATATTATTTTTAAGAAAACATCTGCCTAGGGTGTGTTTGGAATGTGAGACCTGGAGATCACTTGAGGACAAGGAGAGAAATTTGGTATTTGTCAAAAATTTCACATGGTTGTTGTAAAAAAAAAATTCAAAACAAAGCAAAAAACCACTTAATATAGAGTGAATTCTGCTGTAGCTAGTGACTGGTCTTTTGTGACTATAAATTCTCAGAGAGGACGAGGAATTTTCATTACATTCTGTTAAATGTGTTAATCATAGCGTTCTCTGACAAATTTGCAGTTTCTAAGTGCTCTTGTTTTCTGTATCTCTGCTGACAGTCACATGTTCTTGTCTGTGATATTGATGGACTTAATTGCCAGTCACAAAAGCCAAGAGAAGACTATGTGGTCTACCTTTTTTTAAATTGAAGTGTATATTAATAAGGTATTTATAATATTTAATAATAAATCCCTTTCCAAAATAGTCTCCCATAATAAGTCTCCCAAAGGTTTGGCTGGCAGGAGAGGTCTTTCGGTTGGTTGCTTCATGTTATTTACCATAATTCCACTTGGATTCTTCCAGAACAGCGTGTCCTTAATCATGATAGCCACTAAACCAGTCAAATAACGAACAGTTCTGTGCTGAAGCTGCTGTTTCAAGGATAGATCTTTTGTATTTCCTTTCAGTTCAAAGAGGGATTTTTGCTAAAGACTCAGTTTATTTCAGTGTGGTAAGTTCTCATTGGTTTTTCTTTTGTTTGTTCCCTTTAAAAAGTGTTTTTTAGTCAGACAGAGATATCTGCAAAATTACGCATTTAGGTATGTTCTTCCTGTGGCTGCATATGCAAACCATGCTTTTGCATATGCAAATCCTCATTTAAACTTGTATTTAATACAATTATATACGTAGGTCTTAAATGGTATTTTTTAAGACTGTAGAAGAACAAAGACTATGAATCAACGGTGAAGCGTGCACCTTATTTAATATATATTAGAGGAGTAAATCAGAATCTCAAGTTGTATTTGATTTTCAGAGGAGGGTTGGAGTTGGTGGGTTTATTCGATCATTGTATCTGCTAACTGACTTTTTAGCTAGAGCTATGGTTTTGCATTTGTCAAAGGCTTGCAAGATGAGCTTGCTAAGGTAAAAGTAATTTCTGGGGAGATGGCACAAAGACTTGCAGAGTAGGAACCCTTTCTCTGGCTGGGATCTCTGAGAACAGAAGAAATAATCTTTTGTAACGGGATTGTGAAAAGGAGTTTAGACATTTACAGTAGGTATGTTCTAATAGAACTAACAAGTATATTCATTTGAGGTTTTCAAGCCTTTTTGAATGAAGGCTTCTTTTTGAAAGAAGTAGAAAAACTTGAGACTTCCTAGAAGTGGAGAATTTATAGCTGTTAGCAAGTGTAGAAGAAATCAAATGTTGGCACTGGCCAGCTGCTATATCTAGGCTGAGAATTAGTAAATTTTAATATATATGGAAACAGTAAGTAAAAGTCACCTGGGAAGCCCACTGACAGCTCAGAGCTCTAAAGCTAATTTTAATAAGGAAATACAGATATACAGCTCCAAGAAGGTGAAGCAGACTGTTCTTTCTGCCTGCCTAAGCGCTGAAAAGCAGGTTTGGGACTTGTTTGGGGGTTTTTGTTTGCTTTTTTTAGTTTGTTTGTTTGGGGTTTTTTTTGGGGGGTGGGTGTCATTTACGGGAGCCAGTTTGCCCAATGTGACAAATTTGATAGGTGACCTGACTGAAAACATAGTTATGGTGAGCTGTATAGAATCTCATAGTGCTTGTGACACTATTATGCATCTGAAGGGGAGGAGTTTACGCCCACTGTCCAAGCTAGGGAGGTTTTCACTCCAGGGGTTACTGTAGTAGATATATTTCCAGCCTCAATCTGATCTGGTACAGATTTACAGATAATAAATATGATAATAGTAATAACTACAGTAATGAAATAATGTGGGTTTGGACCTCCTTACTTTTTTTTTTTTTCCTAAATTTCCTTGTTAGAAAGCAGCTTTTGCTTTGTTAGATCTGTTCTGAATAACCAGTTAGTTGCTTTAGTTCTTCTGTTCATGTTCGGTACAGTAAGCTCTTGAATACGTTACTGTTATGCTTAAAGCAAATCAGTCTTGACTTTTATCTTGTTTGACAGCATTTTATGTGTATAGATTTCCTCCTTGTATATTTTTGGCAAATGGAGAAGAAGAAATATCAAATAACTGTGTTAGACTGCTTTCTGTTTCATGCTTTAGTACAGTTATGCTAAGGATCGGTAAGTATTACTTGTCAATATTTGTAATAGGAAAGCAGCACAGAGCCCATGCTACCATCCAGCAGCTCTTGACAGGATTGCATCAGAAGACTAAATGGATGGCATTTCAACTGCAGCACTTCAGGAGATAAACCTGTCCTTGTAACGAGGAGAAATTACTGCTGCATGATACATGTTGTTGTCTTTGTCTTAAGTGTGTGCAGCTGCGGTCACTTCAATTGCTTGAGCATATGTTGCCAGACATGGGGGAGGGTACTTTTTTCCTTTGGGTTAACTGTTTTTTGCAATAATGAGGCAGTAATTTTGGACATTAAGTGACAGAAAGAATTATTTTTTCCTCCTTCTATTATCCATATCAGTCTGATGGTTTCTGGTCAAACAGAAACTTCCAGGCACTTTAAACTTTGAGTCAAGGAAAACACAATTAATTTATAATTAAAACATCAATCCCAGATACTTTGGTATCCCAGCTGTTAACCTGTGACTGTAGGACAGCTAAGTCTTGCTCTGACACTCATATCTGTGTGCTCAATGGCAACAAATACAACTTCTAAAATGACCCTTCTTTGGGATGTGCTTGCGAGTGATCGGTAGTCCAGGGTTGGGAGCTTATGCTGAGGAGCTGAGGAATGTGGTTAGGTTTTTTTGATTGACTGTTTTTTTTTTGTTTTGGTTTGGTTTTTTTTTTTTTTTGGTAAGCAAAATAAGTAGCATAAAATTGCAGTGTGGCAGTGTTGCAGGGCCTGAGTAGTGACTCTGAAGTGTGTTAGATGTTTTGTTCCCTAACCTTAAAGGAGATCTCTGCCTTTTGTAATACAGAGTTCGTTTACTCCATGGCATTTGTGCATGTGTTTGATCTGGAAATTCTTGTGTGTGCTGTTTTTTCTCTGTCTAGTAGGGTATGCTGGCAGCAGGAGACAGAAGCAGATGCAGCTTCAGTCTTATAGCTGGCAATGTACTCCTGGTGCTTTGTTGAAAAGATTGAAGCTGTTGGAATAACAGTATGCTGTCAGCCTTACTGGTGCTGGTCTTAAAGATGTAAAGTAACTGGTGGGACAGGAAGAGTCTTGGTTGAAAAATCCTACTTAACGAGAGTAGGCCTTCAGAGCAGAAGCCTTTGGGCTTGCCCTGCTTTGAGTGATGGTTTGGACAGGGTGATTTCCTGGGGTTCTTTCTCACCTGAATTATTTTATAATTCTATGGGGATTCTGATGCTGAGGCCTGTCTCTACTATCTCTGCTTCAGACTCTTGCTTGTCCTACATTACACCTGTGCTCTGCAGTAATTCTCATATGAGGATTTTTTTCTTTGCCCTGGTACCCTTGTCAGATTCTAGAAACCAAGATTAACTCTACCCCTTCAGTAACAGGGAGGAATGATCCCTGTTACTTTAATCAGCTGATTAAAAACCCTATATAACCAATGGGACTTACACAGCATACAATGATTTTGCAGGGGTCAGAGGAGTGTGGTAATGTAAAGTGAGGGGTGAGATTTTCTAACCTTCAGGTTTTTCTGCTTTTCTAATAGAGGAAGAAAACGTGTTCTTCTGGCAGATAATTTATTTTTGTTGCCTTTTGTCCTAGTTCACAAAATACAGGTAAATATAATGTTCCTTTGAGAGGAAGATTGGCACAGATGTGTTCAAGGAACTAAGTTTAAACAAGAAGCTTGTTTTGTGTCTTGTTCCTTTTCAACTGAGAACTAAAATTACAAAGCTTCTTAGTAATGCAGTGAAAAGAATAGCCTTTGAGTATTTCTTTGAAAAATTTTTAGCAATATTTTTCAGTTGCAGCTGATAAACCTAAAAAGCAGAGGGGGTGAAGTAAATGCAAGTGAAAGTGTGCTTTTTTTGCTGAATATTAGCAAACTCCTCTGATAAGAATTGCACCAGGTTGAATGTGCTGATTGGACCTTTCTAATTTGTTGATCCCAATTATTCCATATTTTGTGCTAGTCAGAAATCTTTTGACATGGAGTCTGCCTTTGTGAGGTTTCTGGTATGAACAGGAGCACACTTCTATTTCAGCACCATTTAGTAACTGATTTGTGGCAATGGTGTATTTGTCCTCTGAACTCAGACTGTACTTTGAAGATGGCATGGGATGCAGCTGTGTGAAACTTTTTTTTTTTTGCTGGTAGGGTGTTATTGCCTTCTAGTTTGCACATCTGACTGGAGATTCTAGTAACAGTTACTTTCCTGTCTTTCAGGTATTGATAGCTGATGACTACTCAGATCCGTTTGATGCCAAAAGTGAGTTGAACAAAATGGGAAAAGGGGAGAACACTGGCTATATGGAACCATATGAAGCCCAGAGAATAATGACTGGTAAGAAAAAATTGCACATGTGAGCTTTAATTGCATGGCAGTTCACATGGTTATTACAGCTGCTTTGAAACAGAACTGTGCTTTGGCATGTAAAACCATGTTTCTGAAGATGCTTAGGTAGTCAACAGTAAATGCCATGGAGGCTTTTCATGTGCCAGCACATGTGTTGATATCTACAATATTGCTCTGGACCTCACTATTGAATATAGATGGTTTGTGCTGTCATGTGGGAAGATGAAAAGATGAACAGTGGGAGCTGGAGTGTGTATTGCTCAGCTTGGCAATGTCAAGGCTGTCATCTGTGTACGTAGTAGGGATGGCCAAAACATAACATTGTGTTAGTTCACTTAAAAACAGTTGATCAATTTGCTTATGGCCTTTTTTTCCTCAGTCATATTCAGACTTCTTGGTCTCCCCTCTGTTGGAGAAGGGCTGCAAAGCTACGTCTTTCTGTAGCTTCCTTCCTTCCTTTGTTGCTTCTCTGATCCTTTTTTGTACCCATGGTCAAAATGAGACACTAGGATGCCTGTGAACCTTTAACTGCTATTTTTGGTAGTGTCCTTCCTTTTCTGTCATGTAGGGAGGTGGTTAATGGTGGTATTCTTGTAGGAGTTTGGACTGTTTGAACTCCTTATCTTGGCATTATGCGACTGTATTGTCCACGTATTTTCCTCATATTATCTGCATCCATTTCCTACTTGTTGGCTGTGCAGCCTGTAAACTTTTCTGGAGTATGGATCCATATGTTTTTAATTTATGATGATTTGACACAGTCAACATACATCTTTGTGCACATCAGTTGTGCATTTCTTGGATTTGTACAGCAGGTCCTCTTTTTCTCATTATGAGGTAAAAGTCACTCTTGTGTCCAGTTAAGTTGATTGTATGCTTTCCTTTTCTATTGGCAGCTCCTGTTTTGGGCCCTCAGGAAAGATTAATCAGTGGGGGAAGATGAGGCTGTTGGATACAAAGATCCTTTTTTCATGCAAGTGTTCCTATTTTTCTTTTCTTAAATAGCATTTCTGACACAGGAAATGACATGTAGACTATATTGTTTGGAAGTTTTCAGTATTTTATAGAGGGGCTGGGTGATTTTATTTCTCATTTGTGTAAATCTATTCATTCTAGTTGAGTAATTTCTCAGAAACACAAATTAATCCCAGTAAGTTCTTGCTCTTTATACAGCAGTGATGAGTATTTGTGATTTTAACTATGAAGTTTACAGTGCTTCGATTTCTTTCTTCCTATGTTTAGGACAGGAGCTTATTCTATTTCCTTTTCCAGATCAGCCATAATGAATAGGATGGTTTAGTGGCAATACTGAATGGCTTAGCTAAAGTAAGGGACAGTAAAGTTGTGTACCCTTGCAACTGCAAGACACCCTTTTGCCAAATTGGTGTTTGGTGCAGCTGATAAGCTGTTATATCTGCTCCGTATGTTATTACAAAGCAAACATGAGGAGCTCTCAAAGATGCTAAAGGCACTTTCAAAACTGGAGTTTAATTGAGTATAATGATATAGCAAGTGTTCTGAATATACATTCGATTGAGCCAGCAGAAGCAGCTTGATATCTCCCTGAAGATTTTTAGTGTTTTGAGATCTGGGTATTTGGTTTCCAGTCATCTTGTCCTAATGCTGGTAGAAATAGAGAAAGTCTTCCCATAAACCTCGGTGAGGTCAGGTTATATTCCACTATATTCAGGCATGTGGGAAGGCATCTCTTTGGAGAGTTTTTAAAGATTCAGTTTATATTTCCCAGGTGAGTTCTATTATGTATCTACTACTTCTAAAGAAGACTTTTGGATGGCAGTTTGGTTGGCCTCAAAATGCTTACTGCTTTGTTTGTTATGTTTGTTTGTTGGCTGTGCTGTCTGATGAACAAAAGAATGGTATATGAGTATCCATTTAGCTTAACTAATCTGGTGAAGTCCTTCTGACTGTATTTAACATGGGTTAATCCCAGGGAGGGGGAATCTGCATACACCAGCAGAATGCAGTTTAGGAGAGACAGAAAACAAAACAGCTTTTTGTCAATTATTGCTTGTTTACGGATGTACCTGAACTCTTGATCAGCTCTGGAAACCAGATGTAAGGACTAGTTTGAAATAGGAGCCTAAAGTTTTTGTGTGTGCTGTATGCTCCTTGAGTTAGTAGAGGATTAGGCAAAAGCAAATGTTGATATGAAATAAGACCCTATTATTTCAATTTGAGAAGCTAAGCTTACACCTGAATAGAAACGTGTGATGTCTGAAATAACTAACATGCTCATTCAAAACTTATTCTTCCTCCCTGAAAGCTCTGTGGGCTCACAGTTGTGATACAGTTGGTTCTCAGATGATGCTTAATTAAAAAAAAAAAAAAAAGAAAAAAAGCCTTGAAGTTGATGATTTCAATAAACTATTGAATGGTCTATCTGATTCCATGGTGTCTTGTGGGTAGAACTGGGTTTAATCAGGCTTGAAGTTTCTTCTGCTGATAGTGTCCCTCAAAAATACTGTCTTCCCAGATTTATGGTTATGTTGATTGAAAGAAAGCAACCTTTATGCCAAGGTGAGGAAAGGCTTGATCGGAGGCTAAGGTAGAGCATGTTGGGAATGAATGCATGTTTATAAGAAGCTGTCATCTCGCAGCCAAACACATCTATTGGCCTGTGCTGATATTCATAAGTGTCTGTCCTGGGAATCCAGTTGCTGGTGTGCTGTGCGGTGTGCGTCTTAGCTTGGGTGGGTGTGCACCCAAAGCCACAGGAACGGTGTTGCATCTTTGCCTTATCCGCAACCTGTTTGGGGATTGGATGTCCCAGAGTAAATTCAGATGTATGAAGGAAGTTCTCTGTGATCTTCATATCTGGCATACTGTATCCTGGACTATGCACGGAGTGAGATCCTGGCCTGGCTGCTATCATGCATGTATGCATGCATGAAAACAAGTAGAGATAGCTAAGAAGATCCTGATTTCTAAAGATCCTGAGAAGTTGGTGGACCAGAGGAAAAAAAGTAACCTGCTAAGAAGATACTGGCATTGCTGATACTGCCTGGATAACCACATCCTAGCAAGAAATGGATGAGGTAGGATTGGAGGCAAAAAGAAGAGGAAAGAAGAAACAATGCAAGATAACATTACTGTCACTGGGGTTCCTCATGAAGCTGCAACCCCATGTGCTGATTTACATCTGAGCTGTCTAACAGCTGAAAGAACTCTGTTCTCTCTTGGAACAGCAGTATAAATCCTCAATATTCCCCTGCAAGGGCTAGACTGTCTATCCAAGTGTGTTTTAAGTATGGTGTTTCTGCTGCTTTCTTATGCAAGCTTTCAATTCTTATTTTTTCCCTAGCATCAGTCTGTAGCTGCTGCAATAGCTGCTGCAATAACATATGGCCCGTCACAGAAGCAGGCCTGTGCTGCCTTACCGAGTCTGCAAAGAAGCATCATTGCTTGGATCAGGTGTAGGAGGTACTTCATGCTTGAGAGAGAGTTCCCCAGAGGACCAGTGGCTGGAGATGCTGCATTTGAACAGAAGTGAATAGTTGAGACAGTGTCAGGCCAGAGTGGTAGTGCCCATAACATCCAGGCTGTTCCGTCATCCATTTTTCTCAGTGAATGCTAGGGGAAGAGAAGTTAGATTCCACCTGAGTATTTACTCCCATCAGCCTCCACTGGATGTCAAATGCTAGAGAGGGGTCTGTTTGTTTTCTGTGGTAATCCCTTACCTGAGAGGAGGAAAGGTGCCCTCAATTCATGGACATGGCTATGTCGGGGAAAAACGTGGTATCTTTTTTCCCTTTAAAATCCCCTTAAAGTCATAAGGCCCTACCCCAGCCGTACCCTGTGAGCTGGAAGGGTTACTGCCTTTCCACTTTCTTCTGACAACTGCGCGTGTTGACACAGCTCTTCCAGGTATCTCTGCCTCTCAGAAACAATTAAACCAAGCCCTTGGACTACATGAAACATTTGCAATCAGATGCCAAATCAAGACAGTCTATACCATAGACACCTGTGTGCTGGATCACAGAGTGCATCTAAAACTCACCCTTGGAGGAAGATCCAATTTTGGATCATCGCTCAGATGGAGATACGCTGTCAGCCAAGTTGTCACACAAAGAACTGTATCCTTTTAAGGTATGATAAAGAATACTGGCTACAAGAATGAGACAATAGACTGCATCTGTTGCCCTTCTTAACTTTCTGCTTGGCTTTGAAGGGAGCCTCTAATGCCAACTCACAATTTTTTGAGTACCAGGTGTCTAGCATGATACAGGCTAGAATATAAAAATCAGTTTACTTGAACAGTACTGAAATTAACGTCAGTTCAAGTCTTAGGAGCAGGTATTCTGTGAGAGGGGAAGTAAAAAGCATTATCTGAGGTGCATGCCTACCTTGAGGGGTGTGTGTTGGCAAAAACATTCCTGTCATTTCCAGATCAGGAACTGTGTTTTCTGTGCTCTAGAATGGGTAGTGAAGGAGAGTTGGGGCAGGCTAGGCCCTTGAGTTAGGACAATGGTTTGAAAGTTGAGGTAAGCATATGTTACATCAGTGCCTTGATTTCTTAGAGGCCTAGAAGTGGCCCAGGTCTGTGCCCTGCCTGGAAGTTCAAATGTACACCATGTTTTTGCTTTGCTTTTTTAGGCATCACCTAGCACTGTGCCAGGAGCATCAGCCCCTGCATGGGGTTTTGGCCTCTGTATCATGCCTCTGCCTCAGAAATATGGTAGACAGGGAGAAACCCCTCTTCTTATCTTTCAGAATTCTGTAGACTTGAATGGGTAGCATTTTTGAAAATAGTTACTTTCCCTGAGATGTAACATGCCATGTGCTATTCCTCATGGAGCAAATGCTATGTTGTGAACAGTCTTCAGAAGGCTGTCATAACACTATTGATAAAATATGCACTGTGCCTCTCTTCTGTTTGGAGTAACTTTAGAGGCTACTCAGGGCATAAAACATCTCCTTCCAGACAGTCAAAGGCACGTGTTTGAGGAAGCAGGAATTCAGTTTTGTTA